ATATATATATGTGTGTGTGTAAGTATGTATTTCCGTTCTCTCATAATTGGTACGGGTCAAGAACGAAATCAAGGTGAAGGAGGAGAGGTTGCATTCTTCGTGTACTATTATTTTCTTAGAAAATATGTTCCATTTATTTCTAATTATTCAATTATCATTATTATAATAATTATTATTAATAATCATCAAAATAAGGTTATCCAAAAAATTCCAAATTAACCAACTAAGTCCAATCTTTCAACCCATGTATATATGTGTGAATGCATGAGTCATGATTTATTAGTTACTTGATATAATTTATGAGTGAATCGCGACGATTTATTGTATCTTACTACACTATTTATCATAGCACTTTAGTTCACTCACTTAGTTTAGTTGCGAGTCGTTCGCGATTTAAAAGAGACCTCTTCTCTTAACATGTATGTACATATATGTATATGTATTTGTGTGTAATACTAGTAATACTACTTGATACTTGATACTTGTTAGCTTGTGTAACTTTATTTTTTTTTAAAAAAAAGCAAATTCGTAATAGGCGGAACTGGAGAAAGAAATTCTTATTTTGTTCTTACAATTATGTTTTCTTTCTCTTTCTCTCTCTCTCTCTCTCTCTTTCTATCTCTATCTCTTTGTCTTATTATGGTCGCGATTATGGCTCTTTATTGACGTACAAGATAGTGCTGAGGAGGACCAACTCGTTACGATAAGCCACTGGGTTTCATTGATACTTAAACGTTTAACGTAATAAGTTATTTTTTTCTTCCTAGTAGTCATCATTTACCAACATTGATATTGTTTTACTTCAACGTAGATAATAGTTATTACCTTCGTTCGTGATAAAAAAGAAAACGAATCATTAACCAATGGGAAAACTATTTCATTCATAATTGTGTTGCGTTCTTCAATTGGTTTTATGAATGATTCGATTGATTTCATTGATAACTCGCGTAACAGATTTATGAAAAACAAATAAGGTATAATATTGATGATACAATTTTTCCAATAAAAATTGTACATTGATAATTTAACAATTTGAATGAATATTATTTAAAAATAATTAGACAAAATTACTTATAGAAATCTTGCTTAGTTCATCTATAATTTCGATAATAACTTCGTCAAAATTAAATTCAAGGGTCTAACAACCCCCTACAATTATTATTACAAAGACATAAACGTCGTACATTTTAATACAGAGATCTTCTTCCCATTTTTCCAAATCACAAAGGAAGACTTTTTAGAAAGGAAACTGGCCAATTTAACGTAGGGTAAAATAATTTATCTTTGGTAAATTTCCAACGCGGGAACGTTTGGTTAGTAGTTATGAGTCTTTTAGAAAATTGCGGATGGGGGGATTTCGAAGAAAAAAAAGATGAAGAAGAAGAAGAAGAAAAAAAAAGAAATGTTGGCAGTGACGGATGATAAAACCGTCTGGACTATCGTTAAACGTAGTCCGTGATAATTAGGGATGTGCCTCTGTCGGTGATTAAGCCAACCCTGAATTGAGAAATACACGCCTACCAAAGGGGCGAGGTAACCTAATTCGCTGTACTGGGGCTATGAGTGGCCATTTTTACGGATGACACGCGTTATTATTTCTACTGCATAAATCATTTCTTTTTTTTTTAGAAAGAGCATGGGTTAAAAGAAATATTGCAAAGAATTATTGTACATCCGTTTGTGAACGTGTAACATATATACATAAGAGAAGTAAATTATTTGCGTATACAAAAGAAGTAAAAAAATAATACGATACTCGTATTAAAAGAAAAAAAAAATCCAAGAACGGGAAACACAATGGGTGATGTATATTTGCTACAGAGACGAGGACACCATACGAGAATCCGAAGCCAAAGTCGACGGAAGAAAGCGGGAAACTAAACCGCGGGAACTCTAAGAACAGGAATACAATCGCAAATCACAATTTCTCGTTCTGAATTTAAAAGCCTACGGAAGAAATTAAGTAGATCTTTAAGATGGATAAGAACGGACGACCCAGTATATTTAAGTATATATATATATATATATATATATTTATGTGTAAATGTGAAGAGAGAATGACGCACGCTATCGTACTATATAACATAACATATATATATTTTTCATCATTAGATTTAGTATAATATAATATTGTGAGTATACCTATACGTATCGTTTACACAATGTGTATTTTAAATAAGACAAATTTTAATTAGCGAAGAAGAGAGAAAGAGAGAGAACAAAGAAGGAATATAATAGATGACGATGAAGAAGGGAAAAAAAAGGGGCGGGTAAAAAAGGTAAATAAGACATATGTAAAAAGAAGAGAAAAGAAGAAGAAGAAGAAGAAGAACGGCCGGTGGGTTAGCGCCGTACGGATACGGGCTTGACACGTACCGGGTGTCCCAAATGTGTCGCGGGCGAGAACGCTCACGCACACTCACGCATTTGCTTGGTCGTCACATAAGTGCAGGGTTAAACCACCGCTCGCCATCGGACGAGCCTCTCTCATTCCCATTTGAGCACCCCCCTCCGAGTAGCGTTCATTCGATGGTTCGAGCGCCGGCACTGTGGCCACTACTACCACCACCACCACTACTACTACATTACTACTATTTAGAGGCACGGTTCCTATAATATTCTCTCTTCTTATCTTTCCTGGCAATGCGTTTAAGTTGTGTGCGTGTCTCTCTCTCTCTCTCTTTTATACTATTTCCTTTCTTTTTCTCTCTTAGGATAGAACGTGGTCGGAGTTAAACGCGCGCGCGCGCACAAGCGTGCGTGTCGCCGGTTAACTCCGCGCGTGTAAGTGGTGAGCCACTTCCTGATGGCGCAATGGCCCGCTTCCTCTCCGCCCCACTCCGCCCCTGGACACTGTAACTGCCACACCGAAAGAGTTCTGTGAGTCGACTATCCCCACCACTCGGAGTTTGGCTACTCCGACCACTGCTACACGCTCCTCCCCCACTCTCACTCTCTTTCTCATTCTCTCTCGTTCTTTGGGTTCATCCCTACCGCTTACGTACGTACGTACGTACCTTATACCTTCTCCACTACTATCGTAAATCGCTACGAAATCCCAGTGACGTATATTTATACGAGCGTGGCCCGAATTCGCGAAGGGCCGAGTGCCGCAAGTGCAAGGACGACGATTGTGCTTCTCTTTGCCGTCTTCCTCTCTCTTTCTCTTTCTCGATAGTGCTACTGTTCTTCTTTCGTTCCCTCCCTCCCTCCATTTTTCTTTACTCTAGATATATATATATGTACTCTTTTTCAAGCTACATGAAATGCGTCGGAGTAATTTCAATGAAAAAAAAAAAACCATAAAAAAAAGGAAACACGCTTAAAGTTATAGTCGTTAACGTGGGAGTATCACGGAAAGGATGCCGACTAGTACGAAGACGATGACTATAACGATGACGATGATAGTAAAGAAGTACGTATTTCATTTTTTAGAATGACAGGAAACGGATGGATGCTACTCGACCATGATGGCGATGTACCAAATGTTACATGTCTTTTTTTCTATTTTTCTATCCTCGCACATATATACAATGATAATTATCTTATTAATAATAATCAATAACAAAAAAATATATTCTTCTTTGTGCATTTCCAAGTTGAAATTAATCATTTGAATTAATTGCATACACGTTACGCGTACGCGCCATAATCAAGTTAAAGATTATGAAAATAATTTGATATTCGTGGATTATTTTTTTTTTTTTACTCTCGATATCTTTAACAGGTCATCGAGCCTTTGCGTAAACACGCTAGTATTACTACGATTAAAAGATACGATCTATCTTTTTCTTTCTCACAAATAAAATTACGTAAGTCCGTTTCGATTTATCGTAGCTATATCTCATAGCATAATGCTTCGATTCATTTATCGTGAACGATAACGATCGGAACAGGTGAATTTATGTTTGTTATCAAGCCCGTCCCTTTTATTTCTCTCTTTCTTTTTGTTTTCTCTCTCTTTGTTTTTTTTTTTTCTTCTACCTTTTTTCCTCTGTTTTTCCTTGGCTTCATTTCCTAAACGCGATAAGCTCATATCCCGTATTTCATTAATTACGTATACGTACTTACACATATTCAAGAAATTACATATATATATATATACATTTGTGATTCATTTTTATAAAGTTTACATTTTATTTATTTAACACTAGATATACCAGACTAGTCATTTTGACTGGTCGGGCCATTTTAATTCCAAATTTCTACTTCATGTAACGTTTGATTTTTGTAAATAATTAAGCGTTTTGTTATTTAAAAATGTCTATAAATCCATTTATCTATTGAAATTATTATTGTTCAATATTTTTTCTTATTTTTTAAGTGTAAATAAAGACTGGAAGCCTCAAAAAGCATTTTTTGTATACACCAATCATTTTGACTAGTGTGGTAAAAAATGGTGGTATATCAAATGTTAAATACTCTACATCGTGACGTAAAATGATTTCAATAATAAAAAATAAAAAACAATAAAAATAAATTACAAAAAAAATCAGACGTCATAATTGTTGATGATAATAATTAATTGTGTAATTGAAATTTGAAAATTAAATAAGGAAATTGCGTGATTCCATTTATGAGTATACACTTTACGCACACGTGTGTATATCGGCTCAAATTCACCATACAATCTATACAATTGATTGATCATTCAACCTTTTTAGAAAATATTTTTTCTTAATATTTGTTTTTTATGATCGATACGAAAAAAAAAGAAAAAGAAAACCTAAGTTCTATTCTGAAATAGAAAACGTTATTGCAACTAGGCGCTTACGCATGTTCTTCAATCATTATGACCGGTAATGGCCGGTAATCGTGCACACCAACAGAACCATTTTACGGTGCTATTTTGCTCGCAAGGGAAACGAGGGCCATGCCACGTATACGTATATTTCTCTCTCTTTCTCTCTGTATATGTATGTATGTATGTATGTATGTGTGTACGAGGATTTAAAACGTATCGTAAAAGTTGTTGGAGGAGAGGTAGTCAAAAATATTTAACGTCGTTTTATGATATGTTATCCGATAGTATTGACGTTCTATGTTGAGTACCATACTTTTTTTATATATACACATATATGTATATCTATATATGTATCAGTATATATATACGAGTGAACACACCCTTCCCTCTTCTTTATCACCGGAAATGAAATTCTTGGGCAAATCCTTCGAATCTTATCCTCCAACCTATCGTGCTTCCTTTCGCACGATAAAGAAATAAATGCGTTCTTTATATATGCGTTTTAGAATTTTACTTTTAAAAAGTATAGAAAAATTCACAAAGAAATAAAATATATAATAAATAAATTAGAATAAAATAAAAATAAGATCGTTTGCAAATATATATATGTAAGTATGATGATGAAAATTATACAAGTAAGTGTTAATGTTTCGTAAAAGAAAAAACAAAAATTATAAAAAAAATTTTGTAATAATTGTCGTTAAAAAAAATAAAAAAAAATAAAATAAGAAAATGTAATTCTTTCTTTGTTTCTTTCATTTTTTGTATTTTCTTCATCGATGCGAAAAAGAGTCGAACGATTACATCATAATTGTTTGTATACACCGTTCCTCGTGTCGTATGTTACTTTTGCGTGCATGTTCATTGATAATATAAAACATTACAGGAATGGTTTACTCTTATCGGTGGTACAACGAAACTCTTTTATAAGTTAAGGCACGCGACTTATCGGACGTTATCTGACGCATTATGAAAGGATCGAAGATAAGTGGGTTCATGTATGAATATATGTATACGTTTATAATATATCTATATACAGACGTATGTGTAGGTGTGTGTGTCTGTGTGTGTGTGTGTGTGTGTGTGTATACACAAGGATGGGCTTGATAAAGCGCTAATTTATGCAGCTAATAGAGTATCGTGTGCGAATTAGTCCTTGAAAAATATTTTAACGCTTATACGCGAACGCTTTTTTCTATCCTTCGGTGTGTGTGACTTTTTTAAAAATACATTTATTTTACAATTAGTATTTTTATTTATAACATTAAATTCATTTCTACAGTTCTATATTCTAATACATATATTAAAAGTAGTATAAATTAATAATGTATTTTATATTATTGGATTGAGACTAATAATTGTTTTCGTCTCTAAACATTTCTGTAAAAATATACATTAAGTTTTTATATCGAATAATATAAAAGTGATATATAACGAAAAATTTTGATTGATCTAAATATTTTTAAGGGATTCAAAAAGATTAGAAAAATTTCGTGAATGTAATAGAAAAAAAGATAACCACGTTAGATTACGTGATAATAATTTCTAGTCACGGTATATAACACAACGTGTATCACAGTATATTTTTGCGTGTATTATATACGACGGGGTATAGGATGACGACGTAGAGAGGGAGAGAGAAAGAGAGAGAAGAAATATCGTGGCGAGGACGCAAATGTGTTAGGATTATCGGTGATAACCAATCGAAGAGAAATCGTGTGCAGAGTTGTGTGTTACTACAGCAGACAGCCCCAGCTCGATCAACCGTACGCGTGAATGGAACTGGTGTGTTATGTTGTGTTGTGGTGGAGTAAAGTGGAGTGGAGTAAGAGTGGAGTGGAGTATAGTGAAGAGTAGAGAGTGGAGTGTGGAATGGAGTGGAGTGGAGTGAAGTGAAGTGCTGATGCTAGAAGGAAAAAATATGAATGAACTCGTGGTAGTGTGACAGTCTCAACGGCGTACGTACTCTTACTTATATATATACATACACACATATAAATATATACATCCATACATAGATACATCATATATATATAGGTGGTGAACAAGTTTATGTTGTGAATGCGCATGCGTCCTGACGTAACGCACGTAGCACGTGCATCGTTCCGTGCCATTCAGCGATTCACGCTTTAATGCTATGCACGACACGACACGATACGACGACTATGACTATGAACAGAGACTATGAAGACTACTATTACGACTATATAACATAAAACTACGATCATCGTTGAAGGTGAGATCGATGGAAAAACTACGACACTCGTGTGTAACGCATTGCGTATACTTGTGTTGAATTGTACATATTGCACTATACGTGTGTGTGTATGTGTACATATGCCTTTTTACTTACTTACTTATTTACTTACCTGCATATATGCATAGAACGTACCACGTGCTCTTAGAAATTTCTCCTTGACCGATTCACTGGCTCAACGCAAACGAGCTCGACTGGAACGACTAACAGTTGGTATTTTTTTATTTTCTATATCTCTTTTGAGACATGTAATGATTGGGGTTAACATTGTATTATTACTGTTACAGGCTATACATCATACTATTGGAATAATTTAGAAAAATATCCAATTCCTATCATATTTGAGGATCTTCTAAAGTTTCCAGGTACTAGGAGGATTATTAAAGGACATACAATGGATTATCAACATACAACAGCGGTTTAAGAACAACGTATTACATTCTTTAGTTCTTTTTTTATAAATTAAATATTAATTAAAAATTTATCCACATTTTAAAAATCCAAATTTAGAAATCAGATCCACATTAAATAAATGTAAAAAGAAACCTCTATACGGGATTGAAACAAATAAAATATATTTAAATTCAATTTTAATAATTAGTTAAAATTATTTCTAGTATATAAATACAATTCCTAAACTAAAAGTTGTATCATTAAAGTAAGTTATATTATTTTATTGCAACTTTTTATGTGTGTTTAAATACATGTTCTACAATATATAATTAAACTTTTTGCAGTAGCTCAGTGCTAGAGTCACTGGCTAGTAACTGCGGTATCGTGCGATCGAGTCCCTCTGGGCGCGAAAATTTTATTTAATTTTATTTTTCCTCGGAATGACGTCACGATGACGTAGTAATAGGCGGGGTTAGGGTGAGGGTGACCACGTGGCACTGGCCACACCCCCTGATATTATATGTACATTACGTATATGTGATTAGAGGGTTGGCCATGAAAAATAGTTATCATCCCTGGGGGTAGCATGATTTAAAAAACAAAACAAAAATATAGTGCGTGCAACTTCCTTACACATCATGTGATCCTGATAAAAATCCAAGTTTTTGTAAGATTTTCGAAATTTTGTCGGAAAATTCGATTTTCTAACAGGAGCACATGACGTCACAAGAAGTAGCACGATTTCAAACATTACCAAGAATTTTCGAAATTTTCCCAAAAATGATACCATTTCTTGGAAATACTGAAATCGTGCTACTTCTCATGACGTCATGTGATCCTGTTACAAAAACGAATTTTCGACAAAATTTCGAAAATTTCCTGGAAATTTGAGATTTGTATCAGGATAACATGATGTGCGAGGAAGTGGAACGCGCGATTTTTTTTTTGGTTTTTTTAAATCAAGATTTTCAGTTTTTTGAAAATCTTCATTTTTTTAGAAAAAATAAATTATTTTATAACATAACAATAAGATAATCCTGGAGCATAGGAAACGATTTACATGCTAAATATACTTACATGCTAGAAATAATTGTAACTAATGATTTAATTTAATTTAAATATGGGCCGCCTATTTTGAAAGTGGCCTATCTCCATTTATGTTCAAATCGAGATATCGAAGGGTTTGCGTTTCAATGTAATTAAAAATATACTAACGAGTTATACTACTTAAGTGTATCTAAAAGTGTCAAATTTACAGTTCCTATTAAATTAGTGCCAATTATATGCGTTTTCTAACAACGAATGGAGTTAGGCCACTTTTAAAATGAACAATCTGATTTGTTATAAAATTTCGAATGGACCCAACTCCATTCAACACAATTTAAGATGTTTCAAATTGAAAAAAAAAAACAATACTCAATTTATTAGACATATCTTTAAAACACTTCAGAAACATAATTTATGCAATTGAAAACATTTTTTAACTACATAACGTAGAAAATTACAAACATAACCTACAAAACAATTTTCTACTCATCTACATGTTGTGTATGTGAAAAGCATTTGAAGAAATCATGATGTTCCGGTGGTATATATCGTAATAGGTCAATTATGTCCTTGAATTTTGCTGTTGTAATTTGTCTGATATTTTTGTATAGTGATGTTAATACAATATTTTCGAACTTTCTTGGTCTACCCCGACGAGGTAATAAATTCAGAACTTTCAAATTTTCATTCTCATTCATCGATGTCTTATAGAAAATTTGATACGGTTTCATTTCTGACAAAACGCATCCAACATATTTTTAACCAGTTTATTGATTCTTCATCAAAATTCTTGAACTTTTTCAAAATTGCGTCTTCTAATAATTTTGTTAATACAAAATCTTCTTGTCTCATATTATTTACAATAAAGTATTATCATATTTACTTGGAATATAAGCAACCTCAAATGTTTTATTAATACATAACATGAATAACCAGGTGCAATTGGAAAATAATAATTGACAAATGGAGTTAGGCTACTTTCAAAATAAATATTAAATATTATTAATAAATTAAATATTATAAGACTTAAATTATGTATCTATCTGTTATCATTAGTCTAATGAAACATTGATTTGATATATTTTTTTAAAAATTATTTTTTAATGTGTATATAATAATCTCTTCTTTAATGATTACTTTTAATAAATGAAATATACAAATAGAGAGAGAATATCTTTTAATACCTATAAAGATATATTATATTACTTATTTTATCTTTATTAGTGAGAGAAATAAATAAACGGCGTGGAAAGTAAAAAATTTCGCGTCACACTTTCTTAAATCTCGTACATCGATCGTACCTTTCCATTCGACGGAAAGAAAAGAAAAAAAAGTAATAGCAAAGATTAAATGCAATTGCAATAATTAACGTATATCTTACATTAAATGAAAAGGAAACAGAGTGAACATTGTACTACCACTGTTACCATTACTACTACTACTACTACTACTATTACAATCAACAACACATTAACACGTGTTAATCCTCGTACAATTAAAATAAACGCACGTGCGATTATTTTGTGATAAAAGAAATAAGAATGATAAGAAAGTGTATTTTGTTAATTTTAAATTAAGCACACACAAGTATATAGATAGATAGATAGATAAATAAATAAATAAATAAATAATATATCATTCAAACAAAATACTTATCAATAAATAATTATAATATTATCAAATGAATTAAAAAATCTGTGCTGAGTATTACGCGTTTGTTCTGCGATGATCGATGAAGAACGAACGTTTTTCTTACGTATTTTAAATACTAACAAACACACACACACACACACACCTATATATATATATATATATATATATATATATATATATATATATATATATATATTTGCTATCATACATTTATACACACTTACATGTGTAAGGATGACCGACGGTTTCTGGTAAATGTCCGTAGTGAAAATGCATATCGTGTAAATCGAGAATAAAAAAAGAAAAAGATAGACGACCGGTTGAGCCAGCATTGAAAAAAAAAATATTAAAAAAAAAATAAAAAGAAAAAAAGGGGGAGAGGGAGGAAGGAGGAAGAAAAAAAAAACTATGTTTCTTCTTCTTCCTCTTTACGTCGTTCCATTCGTTTCTTAATGAACGTGAATGATACAAGACCACAAATCATTTGTCACAAGCTTTTCTCTATGTTGTACAAGACAGACAGTCAGACAGACAGACAGGCAGGGTTTATCTCTTATGTCGACGAGGAACACGTAAAACTATCTTTTATTTATCTTTTTATTTTTTTCCTTTCCTTTCCTTTTCCTTCTTTTTTTTTTTTTGTCATTTATTATTTCATTCGAATAAATTGTTCGATAAATGAAAAAACATTATTAAAATACTTAAATGTATAATAAATATAAAAATGAATGAGTATTATTGATCAATCATATATTTTAAATGGATTAAATTGAATCAATTAATTAATTTTTCAAAATGAAAGTAAACGTTGACGACATGTTGATTTTTAACGTGTGTGTATAAAAAAAAAAGATATTAAATGGTGCATCTCCATCCGTAATACGGGAACATACGAAAGGGAGAGAAGGAGAGAAAGAGAGAGAGAGAGAGACTCCATCGTGTTGGAGAAAAATGAGCTCGCTGAATATTGTGGTTCCTTTTAATAGAATCAACGGAAGTAGGGAACTGGGATACGAAGTAAAAGATTCTAAAGAGAGAAATACCCCCACACCCGGATATTCCCTTTTCTAATCTTCCAGTCAAATATAATTAAACGTTTTACTAATAGTAATAATAGTAATAATATTACTATTAGTATATTATTACTTTAGTATTAGTATATTATTTCTATTAGTAATAATATAAAATATTAATAGTAATATTTTTAATAAAATTAAATAGTAATTCTACAAATAATATAGTAATATTAAATAATAATATTATTAAGTATAAATTAGTAATAGTAATATTAATACTATTAGTATACTTTATTACTATTAGTAATATTATATAAAATATTTTTATATAAAATAATAATAAATAGTAATTTCACAAATAATAGTAATATTAATAGTAATATTAATAATAAAATTAAATAGTAATTCTACAAATAATATAGTAATATTAAATAATAATATTATTAAATATAAATTAGTAATAGTAATATTAATACTATTAGTATACTTTATTACTATTAGTAATAATATATAAAATATTTTTATATAAAATAATATTAAATAGTAATTTCACAAATAATAGTAATATTAATAGTAATACTATTAATACATTATTTTACTATTAGTAATAATATAAAATATTAATAGTAATATATTAAATAAAATAATATTAAATATAAATTAGTAATAGTAATAATAATACTATTAGTATATTATTATTATTAGTATAGTAGATTTTTGCTTTTATTATTATTACTATTACAGTAATTATTTTACTATATACTATATAGTATTAATATAATAATACTCTAATAGTATAGAGTAAATTTTTGCTACTATTACCAATAGTAATAAAATAAAATCTACTATACTAATAGTAATAATAGTAATAATATTGCTATTAGTATATTATTACTTTAGTATTAGTATATTATTTCTATTAATAATAATATAAAATATTAATAGTAATATTAATAATAAAATTAAATAGTAATTCTACAAATAATATAGTAATATTAAATTATAATATTGTTAAATATAAATTAGTAATAGTAATAATAATACTATTAGTATATTAGATTTTTGCTTTTATTATTATTACTATTACAGTAATTATTTTACTATATACTATATAGTATTAATATAATAATACTCTAATGGTACAGTAAATTTTTGCTACTATTACTAATAGTAATAATAGTAATAATAATAATAATAATAATAATAAAAATCTAAACGTTTAAAAAGGAATAAAAAGTAAAATATTTTCTCAATTCTTACGAATACGATTGAATACAATAAAACTTCACAAATGTATAGGTGACAAAATACATTTTGGAAGAAAGTAGCGGAAATAATACAATAAACATTTCATTCATTCCAAATTGAACAATGTGGAAATAAATTTCAATGCAATCAATAAAATAATACAATTGAAAGCATGTTGTTAGAATAAACATAAAAATGAAATATTACATCGATATATTGATGAACCCAAAA